GGTAGTAGTGATGGTGGTGGTGGTAATGACTGGTAGTAGTGATGGTGGTGGTGATCATGATGATGATGGTAATGACAGTGGTGGTAGTGATGGTGGTGATGATAATTATGATGATGTTGGTGGTTGTGGTGGTGGTGATAATGCTGGTGATGGTGACAGTGTTAGTGGTGGTGATGATGATGATGATGATGATGGTGGTAATGACTGGTAGTAGTGATGATGATGGTGGTAATGACAGTGGTTGTAGTGATGGTGGTGGTGATGATGATGATGGTGGTAATGACAGTGGTAGTAGTGATGGTGGTGGTGGTAATGACTGGTAGTAGTGATGGTGGTGGTGATCATGATGATGATGGTAATGACAGTGGTGCTAGTGATGGTGGTGATGATGTTGAAGAGGATAATTATGATGATGGTTGTGATGATGATGATGATGGTGGTGGTGGATGTGCCGTGGCACACTATTCTGCCACCCTAGGTGGCCACCTGGGTCGCCTCTATTGACGCGCCGGCCCTGGTAGTGATGATGATGGTTGTGGTGGTAATGGCAGTGGTAGTGATGATGATGATTATGAGGGAGGTTAGGTGATTGGAATTGTGGTGGTGGCGATGATGATTTTGGTGGTGAGGGTTAAGGGGGTGATGTGATGATGGTGGTAGTGATGATAGTGTTGATGTTGAAGATTATGGTGATTATAATTGTGGTAGTGGAGGTGATGATGATGATGATTATAGTAAAGATCATAATGCGGAGGATGGTTTGGATGCTAATGATGATGATGATTGTGGTGATGATGCTGGTGAAGTGACTTCTCGTGTTGTCACTTATGTGTCCTGGTGTTCTGATGTTAGGTGTACTGTGAGTGTTTTTGCTCATGTGGTGTGTGTTGGGTTTTTGTAGTGTGCTGATACTGGATGAAGCTCATGAGAGGACACTCTACACAGACATCGCTATCGGTCTTCTGAAGAAGGTGATGGTGCTTTATATTTCATCCTTCGCCAGAGGAGCAGTTGTGTGGAAACCTTCTGCTCATTTATTCTGCTCATTTATTTCACTCCCTCTACAGATTCTGAAGAAGCGGAGAGACCTGCGTTTGATTGTAGCCTCGGCCACTCTGGATGCCAAGGTGAACATGACCTCTGACCCTGTATAATGTCTGACAGTTTATATGCATCCTTAAGGCTTGTACACACCGAGATGCTTTTCATTCGGGTTTGTCGTCTGTGTTTTCTGAGACGTTTAATTGGATTCAAAGAAAGCGATTTTTCACTGGCGTCGAGCAGAAGAGGATGCAAAATCACTCCTTGACGTTAGATGGCGCTACTCAACTTTAAGCTTCTGACACACTCTTGTAACACAGAAGAAGAAGAAGACAGAAAGTTTGACATGCTTGTTGTTAAAGTTACTGGCCATTAGAACAAGCATGGATGGTTCAAGTAGCAGCTCCAGCTCTAACGATGAAGAAATGATTATTGTTCACAGAGCAATTAGCAGCTTCACGTTCATATCGCCTCTAGGCATCTTCTTCAATCTGCGCTCGCATTGACAGTTTTGCACTTGAGCGCCTCCAAGTGCTGATTACTGTAACTTCAGCAGCTCCATGCATGTGAACAAAAGTGGCGATCTGATTGGTGGAGAAGGTTGACGCGGCGCGTCAAAACAAAAAACAAGCATGAGGCGTTTCTTAAAAAATGAGGCTTGTACGCCTGGTGTTTTGCATGTTGGTGTGCACGATCACATTGAAGCTCTTTATTTAGTCACGATGCGTTAAACGTTAATGGAAAATGCGAGCAAAAAGCCGGTGTGCACAGGCCTAAATACTTTAAATACCTGATTACATGGACATCTGAACACGTGACAATGCAACAAACCAATGACAAGTTATTTGATCCCCTGAGGATTAGCTAAACAATTGTGACAGCCAATCAGAATCAAGCATTTAGCAGACCTGTTGACTAATCTGATGAACATCCTAAGGTGTGTCGTTATTTGTATGTAAACGCACAGCTAATGTAGTTGCGGCAGGTTTTCAGGTGCATTAACAGCTTCATATCACTACACTGAATGATTTCATTTATTTCGCAGTCATATCAAAACACAACTGAAGGCTTTGAATGAGATGTGTGAGAAACTAGTGCTACACACAGGAGCAGTTTAAAGGTGCAGTAGGTGATTGTCTTCAGATGCATATGTTGTTGTGCTGGTTGATGGTCTCTTCACAGTCTAATAGTAATGATTACAGTAAATGATCTAAATGTATTTATATGTATTTTTATATTTTGGGTAAGGCATAAAACTAAAAAATGTTCATCCAGTTAAATAGAGTCGGACCGTCATCTCTCATAATTCCGATTAGCAGGTCAGACTGTCTGTCAGCAAATGCAGATTTGAACAACTGCGCAGCCGTTTGTACGCAGCTCCGTCGACCGCTGTTGGTGCATAGACGAACTGCGCGTTCACAAGAGAGGGTGCGCGCGCCCGCGAGAACGGTAAAAACCCGCTGAATCAAAACTCTTTAAAAACCTGAATCAATATTGGAGTTACCTTTGTACGCTGGAGAAAGGATGAAACAATGGCTGAAGGATTTCTCTTAGACAGGTAATGTTTTGTTTTTAAACTATTTTAGCTTCATGCAACTGATGTGATGTTGTTGTTACAAACGGGTTATATCTTCACAGAAGTGTTGTTCAGCCACTAAAATCTTCCAATAAAAGATTGATACGACTTTTTTTAGTAACATAGGGACCGTTTACAGCATCTATAGTGTAGATTTTAATTAGTTTAACAACAAAACACAAATAAATAGCGCTATTCCGCCTAGTCTCTCCCTATATTGTTTACCATGCAACTTTAAATATTCACTCTGAAATAGCATGTCAGTTTAGCTTGCACCCCTGCGGAAAAGCACTAGTCGCTTTTAACACATGAAAGACGGTTCATTTGCTGTTCTAGGAGGCGTGGCTCTAGACGGCAGGGGAGGGACTGTGATTCAGAGATGTATGCTATGCTGTTAGCGTTGTGAAAGATCACCTACTGCACCTTTAAGGAGCTGACAAATGACTCCAATACAACTTCTGAACTGTGACTGCAGCTGTGGGAACCAGAGTTTAAGAGGAATAATAAATACATGTTTATGATATAGTAAAAACAACTGTCTGGAATGTAAAAAGTAGTAACGCATGGTATCTTTATTGCACCTTAACACATGTATGTAAATGTTATTTTAAACAGTTTTAAAGAAATATAAAAGAGTTATAATGTTTGTAATGGCGGTAAATGCTGCTCACCATTCATGCTATTAGGCACTGGCATATTACCTGCCTGTTATTAAGATATGAACTGTTCATTAGTAGTATACCCTGCTGAAAAATCCAGCTTAATCCAGCCTAGGCTGGTTGGCTGGTTTTAGCTGGTTGACCAGGCTGGTTTTAGAGGGGTTTTGGCCATTTAGGCTGGTTTAAGCTGGATTTTTCAGCAGGGTAAAGTATGATCTCATTCTGCATCCCTCATCCACTCAATACAAAATACCCAACTTCTGCATCACTAACTATTAATAAACAGCTACTAAGTCGTTTATCAGTAGTGTTAGTTCATGGTTTGTTAATACCATGATCTAAACTAGTGTCACATGGTATTGCTGGTGAACATGTTTTGCTGCTGTATGGATCTTCTCTACATCGGAAATATTGACACACAATTCTTCAAATAAACAGAAATTCCAGGACTTCTTCAACCTGAACGAGTCTGGAGACGCCAGTAAAGACACCTGTGGGATCCTGACGGTTGAGGGACGGACGTTCCCTGTGGACATCTTCTACACCGTCAGGTGATTCTCAGCCTGGATACAGTCCGAGCTATGCCTCCCTTTGCTTTCAGTAGCTGTGTTTCCATTTATTAATTGACCCTTTCCACAAGACTGTTATGACCCATTTAACGCTCATCTTTAATCTTTGACAGTTTTTAATATTTTATTTTTTTAAACGTATAAAAATTTATTTATCTTTGCATCAAATTACAAGAAAAAGAATTGCCGCTTATGTGAGGTGTGTGTAATGCAGTGTATATGGGGGCAGGACAATAAATTTAACGTTATTCTCTCTTCCGGCTGCCGTTGTCAGTCTCACACTATTGTTTTCCTTCTTCTGAAAGTTTTGATAACACCATCATTGAGTTTTTCTTTGATTATTTCAGCAAATAGGATAGTAAATAAATGATTTGTAATGCTGTGTTCACACCAGACGTGGAAGAAATGTCAAGTGCGAGTGATTTACATGTTAAGTCAATGCAAACGTGCAAATAGAAATCCTGTGGCGCGATATGTGCAAGTGGGGCAGCGCGAATGACGTGATATGTGCGAATAACGCAGCGCGAATTGAGCGTTTTGCACGTTTGACGCGAATTGAGTTAGAAAATCTGCAGCGGACATTCGTGCTAGGTTAACCAATCAGGAGCTGGCTCTTGTGGGGGCGTGATTGTGACGTAGTGCCTGTGGTTGGGGTCCGGAGGGAAATCCTCCAGCCGACACCGACAACAGTTCATCAGAATGCGCTCGGCTTAAGGCTGTTTTATACTTCTGCCTCAAGCGCACACATATGCTACGGCACAGCCTTTGCGTGGACGCAGAGCCCTCACCGTGTCCGCCGGAGTCGCCGACGCACACCTCAAAAAATTTAACTACACGTCGCAACGCCGTGTAGCGCAAGTCCTGTGATTGGTTGGCTTGGTAGCAATGAGGAGTGTGAGTGCGCGAATCAAGCGAGTAAACTCAAATGTTCATGCGGCTATTTACGCGCGAATATCACGGTTTGTCCACGCGTTCTGGTGTGAACACAGCAATAGACTCTCACATTCACTGCGCTCTGAGTTCACAGACTATGATGACTTTTGCTACTGAGAAACCTGGAAATGTGAAAAGGGTCCATCTTTATTGACGTTTTGAATTAATAAAAAATGCGTAATGGAAAGGCAAGATGCACATACATTTTAAAAGTGTGCTTTAAAAAAACTTTCAGAAGAGAAAAAAATGTTCATAAACTACAATGGAAAAGTATTTACTGAATAAATTCAGAATAAGAATAATGTAATAACAAAAACAATCGTGATGAACTGCATTGATGCATGAATATTACGCTGTTTTGGTCTTTCTAAAATCCCTCAGCCAAAGTCTGTCATCACAGTAGATCAGTGTTATTATTAAAATATTATTCCCTCCAGAACTGTTTTGGGCTTCTGTCTGCGCTTCCAAGAGCATCTCATGCCTACAAAATCCAACACATTGCATTCATTGCGTTTTCGAGGCGCAACTCATTTATTATAAAAGAAAAAAGGCCCACAGTGGCTGCTCCGACCACACAAAAAGACATTTTTTCTGTCTGATATTTGGCTCCAGTTTATCAGGAAGTGACGATGTTGCTCTCTTTCACTCATTTTATGGAAGCACTGCTTTATTTTTCAGATGTTTAATGCTGTATTCCAGTTTTTTTTGGATAGGTCTAATTCACATCTTTGCTTGAAAGCATACTAATGAAGTCAGATGTTTTCCTCTCTAGCCCTGTGCCAGACTATGTGAAGGCTACGGTGGAGACAGTGCTGAAGATTCACGAGACGGAGGATGATGGAGATGTGCTGGCCTTTCTCACAGGACAGGTGCGTGATGGCAGAAAAACACTCATGTTTGTGTTGGTGTGTTTCCTTCTGGATGTACAGCAGGACTGCACGATGAAGCTAAATCGAGATCATTCATTCATTTTCTTGTCGGCTTAGTCCCTTTATTAATCTGGGGTCGCCACAGCGGAATGAACCGCCAACTTATCCAGCAAGTTTTTACGCAGCGGATGCCCTTCCAGCCACAACCCATCTCTGGGAAACATCCACACACACATTCACACACACACTCATACACTACGGACAATTTAGCCTACCCAATTCACCTGCATTGCTTGTCTTTGGACTGTGGGGGAAACCGGAGCACCCGGAGGAAACCCACGCGAAGGCAGGGAGAACATGCAAACTCCACACAGAAACGCCAACTGAGCCGAGGCTCGAACCAGCGACCTTCTTGCTGTGAGGCGACAGCACTACCTACTGCGCCACTGCTTTGCCCCAAATCGAGATCATTATATAGAAAAAACATGTGATCGTCATGCACATCTTGTAAGGGAAACACTGCTCTGTGGTCAGTTATAAATGTCCTCCGAAGGCCAGAGACAAATGTAGGCTTTCATGCAGAGACAAATGTAGTACCGCAAAGTGCAGCGCTAAAGGGCTGTTCACACACACATAAATATACATATGTATATAATATCAACAGTAAAACCAGCAACAATCAAAGATGCATGTTAATATGGTTTATGGTGTTGCAATCAATAAATGTCATTATATTGGAAGTCAAAAACAGCCACAAACATAACGAAAGGGAAATATTGTTGAATTTTTGAAAATGCCATTTGCTGAAACACAGAGAAGGTTGTGGCCAAATTAAAACTGAATATCAGCCCAGTGGATGAACATATCCCACACAGCACTCAAAGGTTAAATACCATTTGAACAATGTAATTAGCAATTATTACTTGCTTTAAAGTAACTCAGCCAACACTGTTTTTGTCCTGGTTGAGCAGGAGGAGGTGGAGAAGGTGGTGTCTCTGCTGCAGGAACAGGCTAGAACGCTGTCCCGCTACGGGATGAAGAAGCATCTGTGTGTCCTGCCCATGTACGCCGGCCTGCCCTATAATGAGCAGATGAGGGTGTTTGAGAGGATGGCTCCTACTGTCCGAAAGGTCAGCCAAAACGCACACGTGTCATGTAGTGCACTGTTAAACATCTAAACTGATGAATCTGCGCAGGTGATCACGTGTTTTATTTTCTTGTTTGCGTTATGTTTTTTCAGGTTGTGGTTGCGACCAATATAGCGGAAACATCGATCACTATTAATGGAGTGGTGTTTGTGATTGACTGCGCATTTGTCAAAATAAGGGCTTATAATCCCAGGACAGCCATTGAATCTCTGATCGTCACGCCAATCTCTAAAGCCTCGGCCTGTCAGAGAGCTGGACGAGCCGGACGAAACCGAGCAGGGAAATGTTTCCGTCTGTACACAGGTACCTCATCAGTTAAATATATATTAATAAAATAATAAGAAATAAATATTAGCTAAACATAAAATAAATTATTTAAACATGACATAAGAATTGTTGCTACCGTATCTGAATATCCCTTTCTATAGAACCATGTTGTTATTGTTAACGAGCGCTTTTAAAAAGTGATTTCAGTGAATGATATAAAGCTGAGATTTATCAGCATATAATTATTAGGTGAAAATGTTTATTTTATAATAAAATAAAGCTAAATGTAATCATAAAAACAAACAAAAATTACATTTTGCTGTTAAAAACTAGCCTAGAGGGCTGTCTGTTATTAAAAACTAGCCTGGAGTCCCGTTTACTGTTAACAACTTGCATAGAGCGCCGTCTGCTGTAAAAAACTAGCCTAGAGCACCACCAGCTGTTAAAAACTAGCCTAGATTGCTGTTCATTGCTACTAAATAAATACTACTAAGTGCCATCTGTAATAAAACAAACTAGCCTAGAGCATCATCTACTGTTAAAAACTAGCCTAGAGCTTTGTCTGCTGTTAAAAACTAGCCTAGAATGTTGTCTACTGTTACAAACTAGCCTAGAGCGCCACCAGCTGTTAAAATCTAGCCTAGAGTGCTGTTTGTTGTTACTAACTAGCCTAGAATGCCGCTTGTAATAAAACAAACTTGCCTAGAGCGCCATCTGCGGTTAAAAACTAGCCTAGAGGGTTGTCTGCTGTTAAAAACTTGCCTAGAATGTTGTCTGCTGTTACAAACTAGCCTAGAGCGCCACCAGCTGTTAAAATCTAGCCTAGAGCCCTGTTTGTTGTTACTAACTAGCCCAGAGTGCTGTCTGTAATAAAACAAACTAGCCTAGAGCTCCACCAGCTGTTAAAATCTAGCCTAGAGTGCTGTTTGTTGTTACTAACTAGCCTAGAGTGCCGTCTGTAATAAAACAAACTAGCCTAGAGCGCCATCTGCGGTTAAAATCTAGCCTAGAGCGTTGTCTGCTGTTAAAAACTTGCCTAGAATGTTGTCTGCTGTTACAAACTAGTCTAGAGCGCCACCAGCTTGTAAAATCTTGCCTAGTGCGCTGTTTGTTGTTACTAACTAGCCTAGAGTGCCGTCTGTAATAAAACAAACTAGCCTAGAGCATCATCCTCTGTTTAAAAAATAGTCTAGAATGCAGTCTGCTGATCAAAACTAGCATAGAGCGCCATCAATTGTTAAAAACTAGCCTAGAGCGCTGTCTGTTCTTACAAACTAGCCTAGAGCGCCATCTGCGGTTAAAATCTAGCCTAGAGCGCTGTTTGTTGTTACTAACTAGCCTAGAGTGCCATCTGTAATTAAACAAATTAGCCTAGAGCATCATCCTCTGTTTAAAAAATAGTCTAGAATGCAGTCTGCTGATCAAAACTAGCATAGAGCGCCATCAATTGTTAAAAACTAGCCTAGAGCGCTGTGTTCTTACAAACTAGCCTAGAGTGCCATCCGCTGTTAAAAACTAGCTTAAAACACCAACTGTTGTTAAAAACTAGTCTAGAGCACCGTCTGCTGTTTAAATATAACCTAGAGCTTCACCAGCTTTTAAAAAAACAAGCCTAGAGCGCTATCTGCTGTTAAAAACTAGCCTAGAGCATTGTCTGCTGTTAGAAACTACCTAGAGCTCCACCAGCTGTTACAAATTAGCCTAGAACGCTGTCTGTTATTAAAAACTAGACTAGAGCGCCAACTGCTGTTAAAAGCTAGCCTAGAGCGCTGCATGCTGTTAAAAATTAGCCTAGAGTTCCATCTGCTGTTAAAAGCTAGCCTAGAGCGCCATCTGCTTTTAAAAACTAGCCTAGAGCTCTGTCTGCTATTAAAAACTAGCCTAGAGCGCTGTTATAAACTAGCTTGGAGCACTTTCTTAGCAATGCGATGGTAATGTTGCTGTTCTTAAAGCAGTTCAACTTTTGCTAATGATCCAATAAAAAAAACATTTGAACATTCATAGTTAAGCATGACACTAGGAACTCCAAGCTTGTGGATTTGATT